CCAGCTCACTGGTCTGGGCTGCTTGGGTCCACACAAGCTGTAACTCCTCGGAGATTGGAGGGAGGCAGATGAGCCCCGCCGGGGAGCTATTAAGACTGCTGGCCTCTTTATTAGGAGGCATGGTGCTTTCTGATTTGTGCCCTTCAGAGATAGCTGTAATAAGAAGAGAAACAGCTCAATCACTGGGGCTCCTCTTTCAGCCCATTGTTCAATTTCTGCCAAACAAAATGCTGGACTCCAATACAATCAACTGTCTATGTGTACCATGTTGGATTGCTTTTACAGTGCTTTAACGATTTCTCATTTAATTTTCCTAACTTTATGAGCCTGTTATAATTCCTGTCATATGTATGGAAAAACCAAAGTCCATAGAAGTTAAATTACCCCAAGTCACATGACTCCTGAATACTGTCACCAGGACAAAAATCTGTCTTTAAGGTTAAGAAGGAAAATTCATCCTTATATTGCCTTTATTTTTCTAATTCAAACTCACTTCATCCTCTAAGTTCATGGAACAGGTGTCACAAAACGAAAAATCAACCACAAAAACATAGAGTGCAGTAATTTCAGAACTGATGCAAATGCTTTAACTCCTGACAATTTATGATTACCTCTAGAATGTGGACATGGGGCGGGGGGGGGGGGGCAGAGGGACAGGTACGAGAGAGGAGCATCTAGAAGGCAGGACAGCACTGTTCCTCTGCCCAGCCCCCAGGCCCCTTTCCTCTTCCCTTCTTGGTGGTAGAGTCCTTCAGGGAGGGGAATGATAGTGCCTTTAAGCCTAAACTCAAACTTGCTAAGCTTTATTTTCTCTCTGTAGGATAAGAGACAGGTCAGGTATCTGGGATAAGTGGGGCTTACTCCTCCTGGGTTTGGAGGTCCTGTGGGGGTAGAGAGAGGGAACTGTTTCCACCAAGTCATCCTTGGAACAAAGGTTAGCCCCTCCCCCCAGCCTTTGTCTCTTCCAACAGCTCAATCTCTCTCCGGGGAGCCTGGAGAGCTCCCTCAGACTGTAATAGCCCCTCCACACAGGGCGGAAGGCCTGCCAGTCTTATCTCTGCAGCCCAGCTTTCTTCTCAGGGCCAGGTGGGCAGATTCACTATGAACTGCAGCCAGGTCCTGCAAGCTCCCCAGCAGCACCACTGCTCCTGGGCTGTGGGTGTGGGGGCTGCAGGGAGAGCCCCTCATTCTGCATCATTCCTGAAATACCTGCTCAGGGTATTTCCCAGAAAGCTCTGTTGACCAAATTTAACTCAGCTCCCTGTCTGGGCATTAGAAACTCTTAACATATCTGTCACCCTTTACTCTTAGAGGAATCCCATCTGAGCTTATAAATATTTACCTCTGATATGTTAAGGATGGGACAGGATTCCTATGTAAATGCTACATGATGAACTGAGAAGAATCTCAAGTCCAGGAAGTTATAGTACAGTGTGGTATCAAGGGATTTTATATGACGATCAGAAAAATTTGGAAGCATTTTAATGAGTCACCATTTCCTTTTAACAAGCGGATCTAATGAATCGAAGGCCATGCAGATCCTTCAGTTGAAGAGAACCTGAAGAGGGTAAATGGAGGCAGCATGGCACAGTGGGTAGAAATATGATCCCTGAGTAAGGCCAGCGTGCAGTTTGAATCCCAGTTCTGCCACTTACCAGCTATGTGATCTTGGGCAAGTTACTGAACTTAAAGGAGCTTTCGTTTCTTCATGTGTAAAAAATGCACAGTGCTAAGTGTCTGTAAAGTTGTGTGTTTTTACCAGGCACCTACTATGTGCTAGGTGTCCTGCTTAGGCAAGACCTAAAGCAGCTGGTGGGGTGGAGGCCTGGGGGGGAGGCAGATTTGAGATTAAGTGCAGCTCCACCCCTTCCTAGAATGCTGCCTGTCCTTGGGCAAATTATTAAACCTCACGAAGCCTTAGTTTCTCCTCAGAAAGAAAGGCAGTCAAAACAGCACCTTCCTCACAAGTTTATGGCTAAATGAAAAAAATGCAGTTGACATGATGTCTAGAACAAAGTAAAGGCTCAATAAATAGCAGCTTTTCTCATTATAGCCTCACAAGGTAATTTTGATATAAGGGAATGCCATCCATTCTCCTCCTAGACAAGGGGGGAAATGAAGCAAAGACTACATTCTTTAAAATCGTTGTTTTCAATCTCTTTTTGCAGGGTCCTAATTGTAACGAGCAGTAGAGGAAACCAGGGTATCCATGATTTTATGCTCTTTACATTTTGGGAGTTGGATATAATTCCAGAATGGATTATGCTGCTTTAAAGGAAGTATGAAAATCACAGCTTTAGGAGAACTGAATCCGTAATTTAGATATAAATCCTTTTTGATTGCCAGATGAATTGCCAATGTATTAGTAGTTCCAGGTTTATCCCAGACACAGCTGAGTGGCCTGTGAGCAAACTTGCACAGACAGGTGCTAAACCACCATTTAAACATTGTGGCCTACCAGGAACACCACCAAACCTAAGCTGGAGAATCCTTTAGGATTGCAACACTTGACATCTACTTAACCTTATTTGTGTCCTGTTTTTTAAGGACACAATTATACTTTAGATAAGAGAAAACTGTAGCCTAAGGAATAAAGCAGTCCAGTGTTAAGGATGGAGACTTCCAGACAGGAAATAAGGCAGGCATAGCTATAAGCCTTACAAGGAAGCATTCTGCCTTCTTTCATGTGGTTTGCTATCCTCCAGATTCTCCTGGTATCGGTTTGCTGTTTCAGTAGAACATGCAGTAATGCAAATACCATATTTGGTGTACTCTATACATCCAGTTTTCCAATTACACAAAACAAATTGTGGAAGATTTCCTGATATAGAATGGTGGCTTAAATCAGGGCACAGCTGTATAGCTACCTGGTACCTCCCTGGAAGAATCTGGCTTTGACGTAGGAAGAAACTACAACCACAGAGTGGCTCATGAGAACTTTAACAAGGAGGGTAGACTCCACAGTAATCAAAACCACAATGAAGACACTGTGGTATCTTGTGTTCTTATGCCTCCATTTGGAGAGGGTAGAAAAAGAAGGGAATCAAAACTGTAGAAGGACGGACTCCTATGGGCAGAGGTGGTAGTGATGGTGGGATTACCAATTCTGAATAATTACTAAATTTGTATCCTTATTAAATATGCTGGATATGCCCTACTGCTACTTCCAAGTAGCTAATAAAAAACATAATGAGAAAAACATAGAGAGGATAACACCCTTCTTTCCCTTTGGGCTTTCCATACCCGTGGACAGGTGGCAGAAAAGAATGGACTACCTTAAATTTCCAGTCTAGGTGTACATACAATCCTAGGAAAAAGAGGTGTTCACAACTTTAGGCTTGGGCCTACACTTATGGTTAAAGCAGGAGGTAGTTCAAATGAGAAACTAATGATCCTGCAAAATTACCCTATTATCTTTATTCGGAGAAGTATTGAAGTACTGCCTGAAATGTGTTTTGGTGATACAGTTTTAAGGGCCTTAAAGAATTTTGAGTGGTATTCAACTTATGTGCTTCTCAACTTTTTGGGTCATGAACTTTGAGAATCAGATAAAGGTATGCACCCTCAGAAAGTTATGACTACCCCCCCATAAACATCTAAACTTACACATTATATATATAATCTCAGAAGGTTCACTGGCTGCCCAGAAGCCCAAGTTAAGAACCTCTGCCTTATGTTCTGCCAACTTAATAAAAAAAGGAGTGATGGTAATTGCTTAAAGAGGAACATACAGCTTGATGTGATTGAATGGAAAGAGTGGATGCAACACTCAAGAGAAGTTAAGTCTAGAAGGGACTGGGTATTGGTGATATTAGTTGGAGAGAGTGGAAGGGAGAGGTGTTCATTTGGGCCAGGAGCCTGGCTTAACTGACCCACTGGGTTATATGACCAACACCCACAGTGTGCTGCGTACTAGAGGCTGGTAGGCTACTCTCTAGTGGGCCAAAATCATCTGCTTCTTTCAGCTGCCCTGTGTGCCTGGACCAGTTGTGTGTGATTCCCAACCTGTTTATGTCTGGTTTTTTTTTTTTTTAATTTATATAATTAATTAAATATCACAGAAACCTATGAAAAATTAGTGCACTAAAAATTATTTCTATGAAAACAAAGTCAAATGTTAAGGAGTGTACAGCTGAGTTGGGAGCAGTAGGCAACTGTAAAAGATTGGAGGGGCAGGGGACTTAAAAATCTCAAAAGTATTCTGCATTCAGATTGCTCCAAAAGTGTTTAAATTCTCACTGCATTAAAAAACCAAAAAACCAAAAAACACCAAACCTGGAAATCATAGACGAGAGGCAGTGGCACATTAGAATTACCTGGGAAACTTAAACCAGGAACTCTCCTCCTCATTCTTAGTCTGGACTGGGGGCCCAGGCATCAGTACTTTTAAAAGTTCTCAGGGTGCAGCCAGATTTGAAATTCACTTGTGTAGTTTATACTAGAAAGACAACTGGGAACTCTAATGAGCAGACTTACACAAAGAAAACGCCTGGACACTACCCCAAAAGATTGGTGCAACGAACATACTTTTAATGACAATGCTTAAGATATGTATGCATCATTTAAAAAATTCCCAAGTTTAACTGGCTTTTTTGTTTTTTTTTCAATCATTGCCTTCTACCTGTCCTAGTCATATAATATAAAAGGGCTTCAAATGTATGGTGAGAAGGAGGTTCACATGATAAAAGATCTCCTGATCTGGGCCCACATTACCAAACAGGTCTCAGCTTGAGTCTTCTTTCAGTTTAGAAGTCTCAGATTAGGACGCAAAACCAGGAACCTCTCAGGATTCGGGTTTTCACTTTTCTGGTTTGTTTTCTGAGTATGGCTGGGTAGGGGGTCAGAAGGGGCAGTTTCTCCCAAACCTTTCATTCCCAAAGACCACTGCTCCCCAGAAGTAAGGTCAGATTTCTGTACGTGTGTTGAGGTCGTCAGGAGGTAGTCGTTGGGGGAGGAGGAGAGGCCTGGGAAGGAAACGTTTCTCCTATCCTCCATTTCGCAGGCAGTCTACAAGGCTCCAAACTGGGTCAGAGAACAAAAAGTTGCTGCACTTGGGGCGATGAGCCCCAGGGAGTAGGCGAATCTCTAACCTCCCCTCGCGGAGGGCGTCCCAACCCAGCCTTCCCCTCCTCCCTACACACCCACTCACCCTCCCCCAGTTACAACAGGGAACCGAAAAGTCCAGAGGAGAAAGAGAGAACCGGGCGACTTAGAACCTAGAATTCTCCAACACCCCCCCCCCCTCCGCGTGGGGATGGGGATCCGGAGGTCGGAGATCGTATAGGGGCTGGGAGGGGAAGTCGAAGGGGCTGGGGATCACTCACCGCAGTCCGGCCCGGGCGGCGGCTCCCAGCCTCGCACCATGGGCCGGGGGGAAAAGGGGAGAAAGGGCAGGGGGCCTCCGGGGTGGGAGTGGGGTTCCCGCCCGGTGCGGCCTGCTCCAAGCCCACCCGCGCGGAGGGCCGGGACCGGGACTGCCCCCCCCGTCCCCGAGAGCGCGCCCGTCTAGCCCAACCCTGTTCGAGCGAGTTGGAGGCGGGGCGGATGGGTGGGGCGGGATCCAGGGGCGGTGCCAAGGTGGCCCGAGTCCCGATTGGTGGAAGTAGGAAGGCGGGGACCGGCGGAACGCACTGGGCCGGCCATTGGCTGCGTGAGTCTCGGCTGAAGTCGGTTATTGGCTGCATGGGCCTCAGCCGGGGTGGCTATTGGCTGCTTGGGGCAGGGAAGATGTCCCCCGGGGCCAGGGTGCTGCGAATGGTACCTCCCCCTGCCGCCCCCCCCCGCGTTCGACCTTACCGTGTCGGACCTTCGGAGTACGCTGAGCCCTGGTCCTCCCGGAATTTCCCCAAGGAATTCACAGCAGTTTGTTGAATTGTCCAAGAACGCCTTGCAACTACTCCCCATTTGTTCCCCCTGAAGGAAGAGTTTTTTCAGCATCCCCTTGCCAGGCTTACACGCGAGCAGAACCGAGCCGAGCCGCGCCTGCCCAGCCGAGGGCCGTCAGCAGCGTCACTGTAAACGGAGCGCCTAGAGCAACCGGGAACTTGTTCTCCAGATGGATCAAATGTCTTGCCGGCTGAAAGACGAGGATCCCAGCAGCCCGGCGCCTTTGGGACACCGGACAGGTGTTCCCAAAGACTAAGTGCCGGAAGGGGCACCTGTTTGGGACTCACCAGACTCCTAGACCACCCCCTCTCTGTCCCAGTGAGGAGGACCTGCCTCATATTTGGGGACCTTGGTTTTCGCTATCAAGAAAGGGATGGCAATAAAATGGACTTTTCACCAAAGTAGTCACACACTCTGAAGTTGTGGGCCAAAAGTTCGTATATTTGGAATTTGGGCCAAAAGTTTGTATATTTAGGATTCTCGGTCTTCAGACTAAAACTTGGGAACAGCACTTTCTGAAGTGATTCTTTTGTTCTCATATGCTGGTCTTTGAAAGTCTCTTTGCCTATTTAGGTAACTTAATAGTTTATGTAGCTACAATAACTTATAAAACAATTTCAGACTTTGTATTCCACATACATCACCCTTCCCATGTACTCCCCCCAAAACCAACCCCCACTACGGATTCTTTCTTGCTCCAATTTAAGGTCTAGAGCACTTCCATGGTTGTCAGACATCAGAAATGTATTTCCACTTCAGCACTGAGCCCTATTTTATGTTATTATGCCTGCATTTGTACCTGCCCACTTCCCAGCCCCATTACATTCAGTAAAAATTTCAACCTAAGAGCCAGCCCTACGATCTTCAAACTAGCATCCAGCAAATACATCATCGGTGTAAACAAAGGAAAGATACATATATATATTCTCAGCTTTAGAGTTGAAACTTCTGATCCCTCAGGGTTTAAGCCAGGGCTGGTAGTGTATACAGACTTTGTCCTAAATCATGAATGACTATTACCATGCCCCAATAGTTTGTATATGATAAAAGGAAAAGTGAAACATTTTAGGCAGCAGCAGTCCTCAGTTTTCAGTGGAGAAGTTGTTCTCCCATAATCCAAACAAATTACAAGACTGGGTTGACTGGGAAGAACTCATGCTTATCTGGCTGGAAAGCCAGGCAGACAATGTCTGCGGGAACCTAGTACCTGTCCCTCTATAGAGGGTTCAGTTAGGCACTCTGGGCAACACTTATCACCGGCTTTTGGAAATACGAAAGATGGACAACTCTGCCACCTTTCTTGTCTCATTAAGACACTCACTCCCGAGACTCAGGAGTAGGGAACAGAATTGAAGATAGGTTTAGGAGAGGGGAAATCCAAGGCAAGAAGAAACTCATCTGCCCCTTTTCTGGAGTGTGTGCTGAAGCCTCCTTTTTTTTTTTTTTTTTTTAGGATTTTATTTATTTATTTGAGAGAGCGCACAAGCAGGGGGAGAGGTTGTGTGGGTTTCACCTAAAGCTTTAAAAGATGGACTGGACTGGGATTGGAAGAGAGGAATAGATGCAGGCTGACAATATCAGAGAAGGGAGGGCCCCCCTTTAGCAAGACAACAAACCTTCCCAGTTCTTCCAGGGCCTAGTGCTGAAGAATGCAGACTCATCATGTCATCCTCAGTGTAGAGATGTTAATTCCCCATCTTTGGTGAAAATTCTCTTTTCCTTTGCATGGCTTAGATATTAGCAGGATCAACCAGAGGCACATTTACCATATACCTAAGGAAACTGAAGTTTCAGGGTCATCCCTTGCATGGAGGAGCACTGGAGGAGCCCCAGGATGTGTTAACATGGTCGTGGGTTTTTGTAAAATTTGAAAAAAAATATTTAAACTGCAGGGGCGCCTGGGTGGCTCAGTCGTTAAGTGTCTGCCTTCGGCTCAGGTCATGATCCCGGGGCTCTGGGATCGAGCCCCATGTCAGGCTCTCTGCGTGGCGGGAGCCTGCTTCTCCCTCTCCTCCCAGCTTGTGGTCTCTTTCACTATCTCTGTCACTATCTGTCTCTCTCTCTCTCAAATAAATAAAATCTTAAAAAAAAAAAACTGCAATTGGCTAAGATTGATGTCTCTTTCCTTTCTAACTTCCCCTCCATCACACTTCTCCTTTTGTCAGGTGGCAGTGGGAAGGCCATGGGTATTTTGGGATTGGCTAAGGAAATGGAGTTGGGGATACATTTAGTTTGGGTTGAGTAGGTATATGACTGTGATTTGCAGTTACTTCTGTAAATAGTTTAATAGCCAGTATAGTGTTAGGGGCTGAACTGTGTCATCCACCGCCCCCACCCCACATTCATATGATAAAGTCCTAACTCCTGATGCCTTAGAATGTAACTGTATTTGGAAATAAGTTCTATAAAGAGGTAATTAGGTTAAAATGAGGTTTTCAGGATGAGTCCTAATCCAATATGACTGGTATTTTATAATAGGAAATTTGGACCCAGACATGAACATAGGAAAGACCATGGGAAGACATAGGGAGAAGATGACTATATAAGCCAAGGAAAGGAACCTCAGAATTAAGTCAACCCTGCAGATACATTAATCTCAGACTTCTACACTCCACAACTGTGAGAGAATTTTGGTTTAAGCCACCCACTGGGTTGCATTTTGTTTGGCAGCTCTAGCCGACTAATACATATACATTAATCCTAGTGTCAACAATCCAGAGAATATTCGTCATTACAAATTTGAAATGCTCTGAAATTGTACACATATATCAAAGAAATTTGATAGTGTTTTTTTAAAGTTTGACAAAAATCCTAAAAAAATTATGTAACATTATCACTTATAAAGTGTGAGGGTGAAAATTTTCTAAATCACTAAGAATTTAAAAAAAAGTGATCATGTAGAAGGCTGAATTACTTTTCTGTACTCCTTATAGAAAACATAATCATCAATATGAGAAATCAAGGAGCATGCACCCAAAAACAAAATTGTAAAAAAAAAAAAAATGCTTGTCAAGTAGATAATTTTTAAAATGTTATTTTTCTTGATTTTATGATACAGTATTTGTCACCTCCTTAAAAATGTTATCTTTTCTCATTCTAAACTATTTTCACTTTTGTGCCTAATGTATTTATTTTTCTTTTAAAAGGCTCCAACAGTTGTGTTTCAGGTGCCCCAAAACTTGGATCTACCCTTGGGACAACCCAAATGGATATGGTGAGTTTCTGCCTCACTTAGAGGAACCATGCTCCACCATTCTGTGCCCTGTCTCCTAAGAAATACAAAAGCGGAGGACTGACCAATCAGAACTGCAACTATTAAAGATTTGGAATAGCAAAAGCTGCAGTGGAGTTTGTGGAAGAAGGATTTCAGACAGACCTAGCACTAGACTAAGGTGTGAAAAGCCTGGGAAGACATTAGGGCCACAGAGGAATCTTAGGCAATAAGCCACAGAGAAAAAAACCCTGGGAAGCCCCCGCTTACCTCTCTTTGGGTGTCTGCTCCTCATGCTGACTCTACCCTTCAGCATATCTAGTTTGACAACGTAAGTGTGGGTGCTCTGCCGTGACATCACAACTTGGTCATTATGATGTAATGAGGAGGCATCTGATTATTCTCAGGCTAGGGCTTCCCTATTAGAAACGTTCTCATTATTTTGTGGGTAACTGGATTCTCTCATTGTTCAGGTGATGTAGGAGTCAATATTATGTTAGAACTTGATCTTTCTCAAGGATGCCTCACTTTAATACCTTTTGCTCCATTCTGGATTAGACAGAAGTCTTTGCTTTTCCTCTTCATCATATTTCCTAAGCTTTGCTTTAGGGTTGCCCTTGATAGAGAAAAGGGCTTTGTTCTTTCCTTCAGTGTTTAAGGAGCAGAATGTAACTTAGATGGCCCCCTTAAGGAAGAAGAGCCCCCTCAACCGGGGGGGAAACTCGGCGCTTTTACCCAAGCCATACCCTTTAACTGCACCAGGAATTGGTGCTGGGTGCCAGGGGACTAAAACTGGGCCCTGATAACTTTCCTACCACTACCCAATATGGTGGTGGGATTCTATTGGGGTGTCTTATACCAGGGCTGCCCAACTCCTCCATATCTTTTGCCCACCCAACTTTTGCATAGCAATAGGACACCAGCAGACAGAACTTTTATGAGATAACCAAGATATGGGGGATGGGAGAGAAGAATCTCACTTCTGGGTCTCTTGCCACCCTTCACCCCAAACAAATAATATTTCTCAGTATTTTATTATATACTTTCATATTTCGACTTTATTTCAAATATGAGGTCTTTTATCCAGAAGGGAGGGCAGCTGCATGAGGAAGCTGAAGTGAGGCACAATTCTAGTGGGTTTGGGGCCCAGTGAACAGGGCTGCACTGTGAAGAGGGTGAGGACGCTCTGGGAGGGCCTGATGAGAACAGTGGTTTGGGGGGATTCACATAGCAAACTTTCAATTCCTCTCCAGGTTAACTAGTCAATAGGTGGATTATTCAGTTTTTTTAGCAACTTCACTGTTCCTTAGCAATATCACCCAAAGAAGTACCAAGGCTGGGAACACAGAGAAAACTACAAGTGCCTTTTGTTTCTTTCTATGCCTGGATAAGGAAGGGAATAGAAACTAGCAACAGAAAATGAAACATTTATGATATTATTGCTTGCCATGAAAAATTGCGGGTCTGACTGTAGAGGCCCGTTTTGTAGCCTGGGAGTGGGATATGGTCAGGAGGGCTGGGGTTAAGCCCCATCTCGAGCTGTACTAACAAATTCTCTGACCCTGCTGAAGTCTCCTCATCTCTGGACCTGTGTCCTCATTTGTACTGGAGAATGGACCCAGTGATCTCTAAAGACAAGCTTTTCCAGGTCTCTGATTCTATGACCTTGCAGATTGCAAGGATCCAGAGGAGCTCCAGAGAAATGCAGGTGTTAAAAGCAAGGGAATGTGGGAGTTCGATTGGAAAGTTTAGGAGTTAGGGCTTATTGTGAAGAGAAATGAGCTACATGCATAAAGAGAAACTAAGGTACGAGAGGAAGGCTGTCAGACAGGTAAGTGTAAGAAGACCGGGCAAAAGTGTTCCAGCTGTGTGGCTTCAAGGACCCAAGCCCCTGATCAAGGCAATGTTTTCTCTTCTAGTGCTGCCTAGTCCACAGCTGACCTGTTATACACTAAATTGCTCCTGTTCATATAGTCATCAGCCTTCAGGGGGAAAGGACCCATCCCAATGCCTAACACCTAACACATCTCTAAAAATTCCACCAAACTTCTAGTGTTCCCCATATCAGATTAGATCAGCTTACCCCCAGGCCCTGGGGCAGCTCTATATGGGAAGAACTAGAAGATTCAGGTGTTGGTTCTATAAAGCTGAGAATGGGAGGTGGGGGGTGGGTGAGCCATAGTACTTCTTACAGAGAAAGCTCAGGGAAAAATGGATTATCCTTGGTTCCCTGTCTCCAACCAGTTTACATTTATCCACTCAGTAATACCAGGGCTTGCAGAGAGGGCCCAAGCACAGATCATTCAACAGTTGTCCTAGTCAGGGATACCTTTTAGTGGAGACTTTAAGGACTGGTCAGTTCAAGACCAGTCAGGGGAGTGGAAAGGGGTGTCACACCAACAGGTGTAGAATGTTGGTTAGGGCCAGGAGAGAATCCCAATGTAAGGAAAAGCTGGAGTTCAAATGGGTTCCCAAGTTCTCTAGCAGGCAGGCAGTGTGGTCCCTTGCTACTTCTGCAGAGCTGGGACACTGGTACAGGAGAGAGCAGCAAGCTCCTGCATGGGAGTGTGGGACCCACAGCACTTTGCCTTCTCTAAGCCAGTTCAGTAATCTGCGAGGATGGGAAGGCGGAGCAGTTAGAAACTGTGGTCTTCTCCTAATAAGAGATTATATATGGTAAAGTTTTCAGTTTTGTTTTTAAATGAAAAAAATATAGTAACATGGTTATATACAGAAGCTCTGGAGAGCCTGAGTTCACAATCCTAGCAATGCCATTTACCAGTGATGTGATCTTGAACAAATTACTATGCTTTTCTGAGCTGTTTCCTCATCTCTAAAACAGGGATAGTATTTCTCAACTGATTGGGTTGTTCTGAGGATTGTAATGCATGCAAGACACCAGATTTGAGTGGATAAGTAAATGTGAGCTATTATGACTGTTAATACAACATGACAATAGTGCATACACATTAGGCAAGAGATTAGTATATACTGAGCCTCGACCCAGGCTCCCTCTCCATCATCCTCCCTTGGGCTCTTCATTGATGACTAAAAAGCGCATTGCTTGGTGGCTTCCAGGAGGTTCTTTCTTCACTCTGCTGGAACTTTGACCTGAAGGTGATCCACAAGATACATGAAATTCTTTGTTTTCTTCATCACGTAAGGATGATGTTTAAACCGGCATTTCTTTGAGGAGTGACTCGGGGTTCCTCTCTTTTCGGCCATCTTCCTTTAAAGGACTAAGGCTTTGGACAGGAGGGGCCTGGTAACGCACTCCATACTCTGTTCTGAATGCATGTATGGGCACATGTGCATGCACTCTCTGACTCAGTAATAAGGAAGAGGAGGATTCAGACATTTTTGAGAAACTAGTAACAGGTAGAAAAGGGTGTGGGGAGCTGGTTACCTGGGAGCAGCTGTTCATCTGCATCAGGAACTGCTTCTTTTCCCTCTTCTCCCTTCTAGAAGACTGTCAAGGAGGAGCCTGAGGGAGGAAGGTGGATCAACCATGGTCTTGGAGAAAAGGAAGTAGGTTCTCCACCCCTTCTGGAGGGAGAAGGAATAGCAGAAATCAACAAGGATGAAGATGGAGGCAAATGGAAAAGAGAAAACGAAGGTAAATACCCTATATGCTAAAAGAAAAATGAAAGTGATGAGAGAGAGGGACAAGGAAAGAAAAAAGCAAAGAGCTTAGGAATAGGGTAAGAGGAAAGGAAAAACTACCAGCAGAGGTTAACTAGGGAGACCTAAGGCATGATTGTGAATGGGTAGAAGAGTCCAGCTTTCCCATTTCACTTGCTCAGGGTATGGAACAGACTGCCATCTTCTGGTGCCATTTAATTACGAAGTGGCTTTGATTCTTGATTTGAAATGTTTTCCATTTCTTATATCCGTAATCCTTTATCCTCAAAAGAGCCTCAACGTTGTTTCATCTCTGGGGCTCCCAAACATCATTTTCCCCAACAGAGATGCACCTGCCCAAAATTGTCTCAAAGTCTGGAAGTCTGTGCAGGCAAGGGCAAAAAGCACTGGGCAGAGGATGAGCTGCAGTTTGAAAAAGGCCCTGGAATACCATCAGGCTGCAAGCTGGTTATGGGATGCTTCCTGGGCTCTGGAATATCTGTATCAAAAACTGGAGGACCCATCCTCAGCCCCAACCAAATGCTGGGAGTGCTGTATGTTCTGAACTGTAGCACTCCCAACTGTATGTTGGAGAATGTGGCTTCTAATCTACACTCTGCCACTCATGGATCATAAAATGTTAAAGTAAGAAGAGCCTGTGACAGATCACCTAGTCAAAATCTAATTTCCCAAGGAGAAGACTGGGGCCCAGAGAGGTGAAGTAACTTTACCCAAAGTAATACAGCTAGTCAGTGACTCTTTCCTTCTGAGGCAGAATCATGATAGTGATTTTTGTGATTCACTGTTCCTGACAAACACAGTGCATAAAGTGCTTAGAGGTCATTAAAAGGCACCCCAGAAAGGTAAGGCTGGCATTTTTCTGGAAGCCCCTGAGTGTACCAACTCCTCAGGCACATTATTTGGCTACAAGGACAGGCCTGGAGTTGCTTTTGCCTTCATTTTAATCCCCAGGGCTGCCTGGAGGAGGAGGGAGGAGCTCTGATGGCAGTCTGCCATCACTCCCCAGCCAGTCAGGGGAAAATGAAGCCAGGGATCGTCGGGAATGACAAGAGAATCCTGTCATAATGCCAGGGTCTGGGGAGGAACAGCCAAGTTCCTGGGACTTAAGCAAGGCAATTATGGCTGAGTATAAAGCTAGGATGGGCAGGACTGGGGGACCTGAGGAGGCAACGGCGGGTAAGAAAAGGGAATGAGCTGGCAATACAAATTACTCAGTAGGGTGGGCTCCTACTTCAACAAAATACCTCCTCTATCTCAAAGAGGTACCCTAACCTTCAAATGCCTAGGTCTGACGAACCCACTAACTTTCTCGCAGTACTAGCTCACGGTACAGGACATCACCATCAAACCCGTCTTTTGCTTTTTTCTAATCCTTCCAGCGCCCTTTCTGGTTTCCTTTCTTCTATGCCTTGGGTTCCTATCACTCACATCCAACTACTGTTTTTCCACCCGGATCTCCCCGACCTTCGTTCATTCCGCCCACTCCCCACACCCCTTTGATTTTTCCCATTCTCCTCGCCCTCCCCCACTTGACTCTCTTGGACAGCTCCCAGCCAATCTCGGTTTCTCTCATTCCTCCCCGCCAAATCTTCGGGCTCCCCCAGCCCCTGGGTGCCTTTGGTTTTCCCGCCGTCGGCCCAGGCGTCTCAGATAAAGTGGATCCAGCCTTGGGGCTCCGGGGCCCCGCCACTCCCGGGGTGCTCGGGCCCGCGTAGAGCATAGTCACGGCCGCCGTTGTTGTCCCAGAACTCGTGGCCGGTCACGCGGTAGCGCAAGGCGAAAAGCAAGGCGCCCCCAATGGGTGGCGCCGGAAGGCGGAAGGCGAAGCGGTCTGCGCGCGGCGGGGGCGGGGCCGGGCCGGCGTAGGAGGCGGGTGCCTCGCGTTGGCTCCGCCAGCCGTCGGCGCTCCAGCGCACGCTCACGCGCTTCTCGTAGGCCAGGTCCAGCACGCGCGCGCTCCCGGCCACGCCCAACGGGCCCGCCTCGGCGCGTTCCAGGCAGATGCGCTGCGCCTGCAAGCGGGTGGCGAAGCCAGGCTCGTTGGCCGGCTCCAGGGCGGCGCGCGCCTCCTGGGGGAAGGGGGAGGAGAGGAGAGACGGGGGCGGGGTCAGGGAGAGGCACTGGACCAAGCCGAGGCCAACCCCGGCGGGGGGCAGTCGGAGTGGAGCCCAGCTGAGAGAGTGGCCCCAAAAGGAATGAGCAAGAATAAGTCTAGGTTTGGGGATGGAGATAGGTGTTGCTTGATAAATCCTCTCCCACACGCCCACGGCGGCCGGGTCGGGGAGGTCCCGGGAAAGGGGCGTGCCGCTGCCGCCTGCCTACCTGGAGGCCGCGGGCGCGAGGCTGGCACGGCGCGAAGTGGCGGAGGGCGTCCCTCTGCAGCTGGACTTGCACGTGGCGGGGCACCCGGGGCAGCTCTCCCGGGCGGAAGCGGCGCACCGCGGCCAGCTCCAGCCCAAGGGCGTCGGCGAAACGCACTCTCTTGCGGGTGTCGGGGCTGCGGGGCGCCCGGACCCCGCCGCCTCCGGCGGGCGCAGAAAGGGCCCGGCGACCCCGACTCGGAGCGTGAGCGCGGGATCGGGCCCCAAGGCGCGTCCCGCCCTCGCCTGGCTCCACCTCCGGCTCTTCCTCGAGGCTGGGCCGCTGGCTGCGGTAGTAGGCACGCTCTGTTAGTGCGGCTATGAAGCTCAGGTTGCGGGGAATGTCGGTGCGGGGGGGCCGCTCTCGAGACATGGCATCCCCCGCCCGGGCGGGGCCCGCCCGCAGCGGCGCAGCGTTGCCCTGCTTTCCTCTCGCCCGACCGCCCGGCGTCGGCGCAGAAGCCGCCCCTCGCCGTTGCGTACTCTCCTTGCTGTCACCTCCAGGATTCTCCACCTCCTGTAGCTGTCTCCCCTCCGTGACTACCTTCCCCCCCCCTCCGCTCTGACCGTCAGCTCTCAGGGTTTTAGACCATCATCTCCTGCCTCCTGCAAGCTGTCTGCTCTGAGCGTGCGCTCAGCGGCGCTCACCCTCCGGTCCCGGGGCCCTCTCGGCCGGGCCCCCGCCCACAGTCCTCTGACAGGTGGCTCCCCATTTGTCTTAGCAGAGTACCACGGGGCGGGGATCCACCTTCCGGTACTGAGTGAGACCACTCAGGCTTTTTGTTTTGTTTTGTTTTTAACGGCTTCAACCTCTCGGTCATAGGAAGAGTTAATGCTTAAGGGAGGATAAAGTCACATTTCCTTTTCTTTCAGAGGATGGTTCAAAATGCCCAGCCTGAGTTTCTCTTCAGGGCTCACCATTTTCTTTTCCAAACCCTAGGCTCCAGGTTTTGGAGGGGGGTTGCAGAGGGTGCACAGAAGGAAAGGTCATGAAAACTAGGTAGTGTCTCAAATAGAAGCTGAGATGTGGCCCTCAAAAGGGTGGGTGGTCCATTGGGAAAGAGTTCTGCACTTGGTCTTAGCCAAATCTGAACTGAGTTGTGGGAAGACAGCTCTGGTCTCACTTCTGGTAGTATTTTGCAGTGTGGCCTTAAGCATGGCATAACTTCTCTGGACCTCAGTCTTCTCATCTGTGAAAAAGTAGATTAGAGTTCTGATCTCTAACTCCACTGCAAGTCCTTTGAGGGCAGAGGCTGTGTCTGATTCACAGTTTCAGCACATAGTAGGCTCTCAAATTATTGAATGAATGAACACATGACTCTCTTGGAGCTGGGACTGTGGAGTTCTAGTTCCACTGGGAACTTCCAACATGGGCACAGAGCTGGCTTTTTTCTCCTTCATTTTGTTCTACATTAGGGGGGAAAAAAAGTGAAGTATTTTGTGTAGTTTTTTTTTTCTTCCTAAATCCCCTACTGATTTTGTATAACACTTACAATGTACTAGGTACACTTGTAAGAATATTACAAATATTAACTCCTATAAATAGCCATCAAAAGAGTAGGAAGTACTAGTATGCCTATTTTACAGATGAGAAATTTGAGAGGGGCTAGGAGTCTTGCCCAGGGTCACAGAGGCAATGATTGAGGAGCTGGGATTAGAACATCAGCAGTCCAGCGCTAGAGCCCACTCTTACCCACTTGGTTATGTAAGATTAAAACGTTTAGTAGTAATAGTTAACATCTTCAGAGTATTGTAATGAGGAATCTTTTTTTTTTAAAGATTTTATTTATTTATTTGACAGAGAGAGACAAAGCGAGAGAAGGAAGACAAGCAGGGGGAGTGGGAGAGGGAGAAGCAGGCTTCCCGCTGAGCAGGGAGCCCGATGTGGGGCTCGATCCCAGAACCCTGGGATCATGACCTGAGCCGAAGGCAGACGCTTAACGACTGAGCCACCCAGGTACCCCTGGAATCTCTAAATTTAAAACAGCACAATAGTTTAACTGTAAAATCACAAGTTGGACTAAGTTGGAAATAAACAGTGAGACACATACTATCTTATTATACAAGTCATTCTTGTTTGCATTTTAACTCCGAATTAACCTTAGCAATGCTATTTAGCCAGGAATCATTTTTATTTTTTAAAGATTTTATTTATTTATCTGACAGAGAGAGACACAGCGAGAGAGGGAACACAAGCAGGGGAAGTGGGAGAGGGAGAAGCAGGCCTCCCGCCGAGCAGGGAACCCGATGTGGGGCTCGATCCCAGGACCCTGAGATCATGACCGGAGCCGAAGGCAGACGCTTAACAACTGAGCCACCCAGCGCCCCTAGGAATCATTTTTAAAGTGATACTGAGTTTTCTGATTTTATACATGTATATATAATCCATGGACATACTCTTTTCCTATTTTAGGGTGTAAAATAATGTTACTAATTTGTGTTACAGTCAAGCATTTTAAAACTATCTTCCTTGCTCTTGTAAAATATATCATTGAGGGGCGTCTGGGTGGCTCAGTTGGTTAAGCATCTGCCTTTGGCTCAGGTCATGGTCCCAGGGTCCTGGGATCCAGCCCCACATCAGACTCCCTGCTCAGCAAGGAGTCTTCTTCTCCCTCTGTCCCTCCCCAGCTCGTGCTCTCTATCTCTCTCTCAAATAAATAAAATCTTTAATATATATATATTTCAATTGAAATAAATATTTATATATATATAATTGAAGTAATAGATAAGGTTCAAAGTGGGCCTATATGGCCTGAGGTTTTCTGATAAAAACAAGTGTGCTTTGTCTATAGTTTGAACTGCCATTCCTTGGCTCCATGGTGTTGGTCTGAGAAGATCCTTGAGGTACACAGCTTTGGACCAGGTATAATTTGTGTTGGTCTAGCAGCTCTATTCTGGCTGCTCAGACTGACATTGAACCTTTATTCCAAATCAATGTTTGTTTCTTTTCTTTTTCTTTTCTCTCTTTATAGTTCAGTCTTTGTTTCTTAAATAGCCACTATAGTTACCTTCAAACATTGGAGTGGGCCTGCTCAATAACTGGCCAGGGGAGTTGAATGATTTGTTCAATCAACATTTACTGAGGGTCTATTAGGCCTGAAGGACATAACAGTGAATAAAATTCTGTTCCTGCTCTCCCAGGGTTTATAAATAAATGGGAGGGCAGACAGAAATATATTTGGATTCTGAGACTTAAAAGTGTTGTTATTTCAAGTAAGTGTCTTAGAAGAAATCAGGATTGCAAATGAAGGATTGGACTAGGTTATTCTCTGAAGAAGAAGGCAGCCTTGCTGGTGGCAGCTGTAATGATCATCCCAAGAGCAAAGAAGTAAGGAGGATGGTTGAAAGGATACAGTCATAAATATGTGGAATCTGCTGTGCATTCAGAATGGAGGGGATAACTGAGTTTGGACTTGTCAGTGGTGTGATAACATAGATTACCTGAAGCAGAGAGATGAACTTATAACAATGCACTTAAAGTTAAGACAAACTTTACAGTCAGACAAAATTGAGTACCAGTTTCTAAGTATGGCTTCGGGTAAGTAACCTCTCCAAGCCTCACTCTCTTCCTCTATAGAATGAGAATAAAGCAGCATAGGGATTGGTGTGAGGATAAATATCATGCATATAAAGAAAGCACCTAGTGCCCAATAAGTCCTTAAAATGTATTAGTTGTTACTATTACTGTTACAGAAACGACCTTTCTTCTCCAGAGACTGTAGGGGCAGTTAGGAATATCAAGGCTTGGACTGGATGTGGAAGCAAAGGGAACCAGCAGGAAAGGAAAATTGGGGAGCGCCTGGGTGGCTCAGTCATTGAGCGTCTGCCTTCAGCTGGGGTCATGATCCCAGAGTCCTGGGATCGAGCCCCGCGTCAGGCTCCCTGCTCCGCGGGAAGCCTGCTTCTCCCTCTCCCATTCCCCTTGCTTGTGTTCCCTCTCTCGCTGTGTCTCTTTTTGTTAAAGAAATAAATAAAATCTTAAAAAAAAAAAAAAGGAAAGGAAAATTGGGTTGCCTCTTTCTATCCTTTGGCTGGAGGTCCCTCCGAATAGAGCCAAAGGAAGTGTCAGGGCAAGAGCCAGTGAGGCCCAGTCAGAATGCCTGAGAGAGCCCTCCTGAGGATCACCTGTGGTCGCATTGCTTCACATCCTGTGAACTGCCCTGTGTAAATATACTGCCGTGCATAAATAATAGGCATACATATATGTATGTGTCTGTACACATACACACACACACACGTATATAAAAAATCTGAAAGGGTAAACATCGACCTTGACATTGGCAACCTCCAGAAAGGGAGGTGGAATTGGGCAAGGAGTGGGAGGAGGGAGATTGAGGACTTGTATTTTTTTCCCCTTAGATCTCTATATTGTTTGAACTTGTCATAAGGAGAATAAGTTCATGTGTTGAGTGAAAAGAATTAAAAAGGAAACCAATGTGATTACCAAAAAAATGAAAGAAGGTAAAGAAAAGTTACCTGCAGAAATTACTTGCGATCCAAGTCTTGATGCCCGGCTAAAGCCCCAGCCCACAAAGAGACTATTGGGTTAAAGGTCCTGGAGAAAAAGAGGGAGTAAAATGTTCAGTGTCTGTGTCGTGTCTGCCAGTCCCACGGGGCGAGGCACCTGGCAGGCAGTTCCCACTGCAATGGGAACTGCTTCTCTAATGCAGGCATCCACTCCAGGGCTGGAAAAATTCAACAAGTGCAAGGAACATCAGAGACCTTCTGGAAATGGTGAATTTGCTCCGAGGTTTCCTGAGGCCTAGCCGGCTTCTCTGGGCAGCCTTCAGGCTCAGGAGCCCAGCCTGGCCCTCTGTGTTCTCTCCGGCCCGCTCTTCTTGGCTTCCAGCAGCCCTCTCTCTTCCGGAGTTGTGGCCCTTCCCAAGCTTGCTTCCCAGCCCCGCCCCTCTCTCTGGACGCATCTCTGGGCCCCATCATCACCCGGCGCCAGGCCCTCCCTCCCGCCCCCCCCTTTCTCCTCCCTCCTTCCTTCCTTCCCTTCCTCCCTCTCTCCCTCCCTCCCAGCTCCTGCACCAGGAAACGGCCCGGATCCTGGCAGCGGCCTGACCCGTGAGATCCCTAACCTGGCAGGCAGGCGGGGTTGGAGACTTGCTGAGGGTGGGGGTGAAGGAGGAGTTGGGCTCTTGGACTGCACTAGCGGGGAGCCGGGAGTAGAGATGGTGTCGGCAGGAAGCCCTTGGCCCTGGGTTTCCCGGGAGGACAGTCATTAAACATGGATTCGGCCACACAGCTGGTAGTTGGGGGCAGGGGCCGGTCCGGGGAGCTGCAACCCCAGCCTTCTCAGTCCAGACCCTGATCCCTGGCCTTCCCCGCCTAGCTCTGCTCTCCCCCTCCCCTTCCCAGGGCTCCACGCTGGCCAGGAGGATGAAAGGCCCCAGCTGGGGGCTCCTTGCCACCAGCGCTGGGTCCTAAGAGCTGCCATCCAGGCTGGGTGAGTGTCCCCTTCCTTCTCTGTTCTGGGCAGCCCTTTGCTTCTCCCACCTTTCCCTTCAGCCCCTCTCTCCTCCCCCCATCTTGTGCCTCTGCCAGCATCTTTACATCTTCCCTCTGGGGAGGTACTAAGCCCCTTCCTTTAGCCAAAAAGATGTGTACAGTGGAAAGGGGGGTTGTAGGGGGTGTTAAAGAGCTAGTATTCTATTATGGAAAGAATCTAAAGTATTTTAAAAATAAAATTTACTTGTTATGCATTTAGTGTGGCATATTACGAATTTAATGGCCAGCCCCTCATGCCCTGGGCCTCTCACCTTGACTTAATTCCCGTGTTCTTGCCCCTCCCTGCCCAGTGGTCTCTGAGCATTTCCTCCCACCTCTCTCCCTGTCTCACTGGGTTGGCCAAGCCTGAAGTACCCCTTCTGGCTCTCTGACCATATATTCATGCCAGTCTTTCATCCTTGACTCTTACAGCCGCCCGGATGGCGACCCCAGCCTCAGCCCCAGACACACGGGCTCTAGTGGCAGACTTTGTAGGCTATAAGCTGAGGCAGAAGGGTTATGTTTGTGGAGCTGGCCCTGGGGAGGGCCCAGCAGCTGACCCACTGCACCAAGCCATGCGGGCAGCTGGAGATGAGTTTGAGACCCGCTTCCGGCGCACCTTCTCTGATTTGGCAGCCCAGCTGCATGTGACCCCAGGCTCAGCCCAGCAACGCTTCACCCAGGTCTCTGATGAACTCTTCCAAGGGGGCCCCAACTGGGGCCGCCTTGTGGCCTTCTTTGTCTTTGGAGCCGCACTGTGTGCTGAGAGTGTCAACAAAGAGATGGAGCCACTTGTGGGACAAGTGCAAGAGTGGATGGTGGCCTACCTGGAGACACGGCTGGCCGACTGGATCCACAGCAGTGGGGGCTGGGTAAGGAGCTTCTCAATTGCTGCTCTGCACACCCCTCTGCAAAGCTCGTCTCCAGAGGGAAGATGGGGGCTCTGGCTGGAGGCTGGGGGCTGAGTCTCCCTATTTGGGTGGAATCAGATGCCCTCACTCTGGGTGTCATGCTGGACTCTGCACTCCAGGGCTGCCATGCAGTCATCACTGGATGGGCTCATGGTCCAAAGCAGAGGACAGAATACACAGTGCCTGCAGGGAAATGGCATCCAGCTGTCGGGAACTTTTTACACCAGAGTAGGTGACATGGGCGGGGGGTGTCAGCGATGGGTGGTGGTCAGGAAAGCCTTGGCAAAGGATGCCAGTTCTGAGCAAAAATTTTGGCCAGGGAGAGGCTGGGATTCACTTGAGGCAGAGAGGGCAAATGAGCCAGGCGCTCATGGGGGATGATGGGGGCTTGCAGCCAGTAGAGCTTTGGCTGGAGAGGAGCTGGGTATGGGGTAGTGCTTGCAGTGGATGGAACTGGAACTCTTCCTCTCCTCTTTCCTCCACTCTTTCCTCTCCTGATATCCCTTTCTCCTTCTTTCTCTCCTACTTCCCTTCTCTCCCACAGGCGGAGTTCACAGCTCTATACGGGGACGGGGCCCTGGAGGAGGCGCGGCGTCTGCGGGAGGGGAACTGGGCCTCAGTGAGGACAGTGCTGACAGGGGCCGTGGCACTGGGGGCCCTGGTAACTGTAGGGGCCTTTTTTGCTAGCAAGTGAGAAAATCCAGGGCCAGGTGGGGCTAAGTGTGGCTGGGGGACAGGAGAGCAGGAACAGAACAAGAGAAATGCCCTTGGAAGAAGTGGGGTGAATGGATGGGCATGGAACGGGGATGGGAAGGGGCAGGGTACTGTGTGAAGGAGCTGTGTGTGCCAGGCAGGCAGTTGGAAGGATGAGCTGGAGACATTAGGGAATGTATTTGGAAAGTATTTGGGGGCCAGGAGATGAAGTCATTCCAGGGTTGGGAGGAGGTGGGAGAGGTCATGTCTATAGGTGTAGGCACACAAAACTATACCTAGAGCTTAATTTATAGCCCTGAGGGAGGTTGACTTGCATAAGGGGTTGTGTCTCCTTTGGATGAGTGAGATTTGGGGAAAACATAGAAGGCACAACCCTTTGAAATGGAAGCTTGAGGTTCTCGGGTGATAGGGAGAGGTGGCTGTGATGGTGGGCTGCTTGGACACGCGTGTGCATGTGCACGCATGCTCGTGTGCATGCTGGGCTGCTTGTCTAACCTGCTGGTGGCCGTATTCAAGGAGAAAACTTCCCTGTTGGACTGGCAAGAACAAGGGCCAGTTCTCTGCCCCTCCTCCCAACCCTCTCCTCCCCCCTCTCCTTGTCCTGATGCCTCAAGGCTGTGGGAGAAACACTGTATCCAGAAGAGGGCTTTGGGCACTTTGGGCAGAAAGTCATTAGCAGGGCTTTGGAGAGAAGAGAAGTTCTGTAGCTGGCCTTGTTGCTTCACCATCCCCATTCCTTGTGCATCATACTTGCTGCTGCCTCCTGGGCTCTGAACAAAAACAGGGCTGCGGAGGCTGCAGCGGGCGGGTGGTGGGGAGGGGCTGGGCCTACGTGCCACCCTCCTCTCCCACTGGGGCACACTGGTGCCTAAAGTGTTCCCTGTCTCTGGGACCTTCTGTACCCAAACTTAAACTCTAAATTGGGACTCTGATTTTCCTTTGGAGTGTGTGGAGGTAAATGTTGATCTAGAGTACAGTCTGGGTCCTGCACTGTGTCTCAGTGAGACTGCTGATGCCTTGAGAGGAACATTCCAGCTCCGAACCCCATGGGTGTGAGGGTGACCTGTACTCCGTGACTGGCCTATTCCATGTAGTGGGCTTTGGTGCTGCTTTATCGAGGGCCAGGTGTATGGGTTCTAGAGTACCTACCATGACCTAGAAGCATTTATATTTTCTTTGAAGCCACGCTGTTTGCATGGGTGTTACTTGTCTGTACCTCAGAGTCTGAGGACATTAACTTTAGAGCTCACAGTCCTCTAGAACAGATTCAGATTATAGCTTTTTCTTTTGAGAGAGAAATGATTTCACTCCAGATGCATGTCCTGAGCCAGACCTCACTGCTGCACTTCCCAAGGTGCTCAAGTTGCTGCTCTCCAATGCTGACTTCAGACACAGTGCTCTAGAACCCTGCCCTTGATCCTGAGCACTGATCAGCTTAGCTAGACCATGGTTGACTCTTCTTGGAGATTTTCATTTGGTCCCAGAATGTGGCAACATAGTTGTACTCACAAGAATGTGGGACCAAAATTGGCCTCAGGTGTTTAGCCCAGACTTTTGCTTTTGAGAGAGGGCTGCACTTTTTAATGGTATTTATAGGGGAGGTGGTAGACTGCATGTGCCACTTGGTCTGTTGTGAGTATGCTGATACCAGAAACTCAGAGCTGGTCTGTGGCAAGAAGTTGGGGGTGGGGGTCTCTGACTCGCTCAGGACAAACTAGACCAGTGGTTTTCAGACTGCTTGGCAGAGCCCTGAAGTTTCCTAGGGCTTGCCTCAGGAGTCCTTGGGGAGGTGAAGAGGGGGTGCTAAGCAGGCTGGGCTACACATCCTTAAACAGAATAGCTCCCCTTGTAGCTGTCTTACATATCGGGGTTCAGGGTAAGATTTTATTTGCATTAAGGGGTTTGCTGCTGAAAAGAAAAAAACAAATGTTGGAAAAACCACTGACTAGACCATCAGCTCCAAATTGGAGCCCGCGCTCCCCCAGGTTTGGGGCAGACTCTTCACCCCCCCCTTCTACCACAGGACGCCTATCCCTGTTAGCTCTCCTGGGGGCCTTTAGCAAACCGGAGCAGCAGGGACCATGGTCAGGTAACTGAAATGCTCTGCTCTGAGGCCTTCACACCTGGGTGGAAGGAGAGGTTGTTTTCTGAAAGGGGAAAGGGCTTGGATTCCCAGAAGCATAGCTTGCTTGGGACCATAGTGGGCAGTTTTGATCTGTCCTGTCCTTTTTAGCTTGAGGGGCAATGGAAACCCCAGAGACTCTTCTGTCAGGGAAAACTAGAGACTCTTCTAGAGCCATATAGTTCCTTGGGATTAGCTCTTGGCCAGGAAGGCTGAGTATGGCTCCCAATTTTTAAATCTATTTCATTTTTTTAAAAAATAAGGGAAATAAATCTAATTGCCATTTTTCAGAGATTAAATATGTGGAGAGGGCGTTTCTCGCTTTCCAGAGCCCAAAGGGACAAATAGGGACTTTGCTTAGGCCAAGGAAGGAGCAGAAGTAGGGCAACTAGGTCCTGCAATTATTAATCCCACTCCCCACTTATTCTAGGGTATATACTATTTTACTTTTTTAAATCATAAAATGGCGGGAGAACAGATTTGGTTAGTTTAGAAGAAAAGAAAAAGCTCTATAAATATAAATATATATTCCTGTATTTTTATTTAATAATTTATAAATACCAAGTTCATTTGACTTTTATTTTTGTGTAATATGTAATGGTCATATTAAAAAAAATAAATAAAGCCCGGAAGTTT